GAAATGCATTCAGTGAAAAAGTACCCGTTTTTCGGGGACTTTTTACGATTTGTTCGGTAAAAAATACACATCTATGGATATAAAAATTATCCTTCTGAATTGTCATATTTCCCACATGGTAGAGTATTTTTTCCATATACCCATTTGAAGGTCATGGGGACGAATGCGCGTGAATTTTTACCAAACAGGTAAAAAATCTTACGCAATGTTAAGTAATTAGGCCGTGGCTAATGGCACTACGCGTGAAACACGCAAGACCTGCGTATTACACGCAGACTGACTTGAGCCCATGCCTGGTACACTCAGGCCGGTTCAAACATGTGCCTGACACACGCAGACAGGTTCAGACATGTGCCTGACACACGCAGGCAGGTTCGGACCCCTGCGTACCACACGCAGGCAGGTTCGGACCCCTGCGTGTGTCAGGCACATGTCTGAACCTGCCTGCGTGTGTCAGGCACATGTTTGAACCGGCCTGGGTGTACCAGGCATGGGCTCAAGTCAGTCTGCGTGTAATACGCAGGTCCTGCGTGTTATACGCAGGTCATGCGTGTTTCACGCGTAGTGCCATTAGCTACGGCCAAGTAATTATTCCCATTCATTGGGATAATATTTGATGGAATTCCGTGTAAATTTTACTGTTTCGGTACAAATTACCCTCACGTTTAGTAAATTTTCTCGGACCAAAGGTGGAAAATTCACTACTTGTCTCGCACTTTTTCTCTGATTTTGGGGTAAAAATTACTGGAAATCGAGTTTACACCACAATTACCTGACTTGTTTAGTAATTTTTCTCCAACTTTTTTCTCCGTGTATTCACATTCTTTAAATATTGCAGTAATATAATTGAAATAAAGAAACAAAGACGAGGGTGAGGATGCAATAAAGCGGCTAACGCATCACCCATCGCGCTTTTGCCCTCGATATCCTTTCATCTATCACAGTTTCAAAAAAAATCACGAAACAAAAAACAGGTATTTTTGAAAAATCTAAGAAACATTTTGTTCATTATTTTCTCCAGCCGTTTTAGTATTATGATCTTTAGTATTATCTTCTTAAATAGACTGCAGCTAGTCTTGGCGAGAACAATCTGCATATTTAATCAGCTCCCTCAAAAATATCTAATTAAACAACAAAATCTTTCGGGCATACAGGGAACGCTGAGTAATACTGGCAGATTAACTATTCGTATAAAATTTAAAAATGAATTCAATGGCCGGGGGGGTAGGGGGGTCATGTGCGGAAAAACCATCTCTTTCGAAAAATGAAAATTACTAAAAATTTGTGAAACAGAGCCACAGGTATGATTTCACACTTTTTCTGAGAAAAAATAGGGAATTTTTTTCCAATGAAAATCTACCGGAGCCGAATATTAATCTTTTCGCAAAATTATCAAATTTTTTCCCGGCAAATCCAACTAACATTTTTCCATCAAAGAATATTACCGAACTCTTCGAGAAAAAGAAAAAATTAATGGGAGTATGTTACGTGCTGTCACATTTTTAACATTTGAATAACTCTTTAAAACCGATGGAATATTGAGGGGATACGAAGCGATATATAACCAAAAGAATCGTTTATTAAATTAAATTATGGTTCTGATGTTTGTAACCTTCAGAATCAACTATTAGAGAATAAAGTTTGATCATTCATCCAATTGAAATAACGAAGTATTCCGTAGTGCACACGGGTTCCTCCGTTATCACTTCCGGGAATCATCGAGTGTTTGATTTAAAAAAATACTCTTCTTTTACTGTATTTTTCTCTCAGAGTATATGGAAAGTTGGTCGAAATCTCAGACATAGTACAGAATTATTGGTTGGTATTCATAGTAATGGTCCACAAATTCATGAAGCTTAACAATGCGCGTGATACTACGAAAATTCAAATTTATGATGTATGAATCACATAGTTAACAAATTGTGTAAAACAATGAAATTTCCATTTTTCATATGTGTACTTAAAATTGGTTAAATATACAGATATCATTCATATGGAGAAAAGTTGAATCAAGTTCTTTCTACTCCCCATTCCCAATTTCCTTAATATAATTCTGTATTCATAATTCTGTATTCATATAAGAACGCATGAGGAAAAACTTCGAATCTTATCTGTTCTCATCGAGTAGTATCGAGGTTCCAATGGGCTATCTAAAAAAATATATAATTTTTTTCTATAAGAATGTATAAGAATTCTGGTCCATTCTTATAGAAATTCGGATATACAGCCGAACCATCGACCTTCTCATATCAGTGAGATAGAAAAAGAAATCATATTGAATCTNATAAGACTACATATGGAAGTGACACTAACCTTACTGTTTCTTACTACCGAAACTCATACCCGTCAAGAATTGATAAGAGTTCCCCACCAGGGTTACCCCCCCCCCTTGGACTTCCTACATTGCGATTTAGGGTGAGAAAGGTCAAAAAGAATTTACCCTACCTTGGACTTTTCACAATGCGATTAAGGGTCAGAAGGGTCGCAAAAAATCCCTCCTTCCTTCTCATCCCACCCTCAATTATCCGATTTAGAGTCAGATGGGTCAGAAAAAAATTCCCCTCACCTTGGATACTCCACAATCCTATTTGGGGTCTGAAGGGTCAGAAAGAAAAGCCCTCGCCTCCTTGGACCATTCGCTATTCGATTTAAGGTCAAAAGGGTCAGAAAAAAAACTTCCCCCCACGCTGGGACTCCCCACAATGCGATTTAGGGTGAGAAAGGTCGAAAAGTTTTCCGCACGCCCCTTTGGACTACCCACAAGGCGAGTAAGGGTCAGAATGGTCAGGAAAAATTCCCACCCCTTGGACATTTCGCAATGCAATTAAGGTACAGAAGGGTCAGGAAAAAATTCCCTCCCCCTTGCATCCACAACAAAACCCAAAATTCCCCCCTCCCCGTCGCACTCTCAACTATGTAATTTACGGTCAGAAGGGTCAGAAAAAAAATTTCTCCTACCCCTCGGATCCTGTACAGTCAGATTTAGGGTCAGAATGGTCAAAAAAATCCCCCCCCCCCATACACTCAACTATCCGATTTAGGGTCAGAAGGGTCAAAAAAAAATCCCCTCGCCCCTCGGATCCGCCACAATCAGATTTGGAGTCTGAAGGGTCGGAAAACCCCCCCCCCCCCCTCCGACCTTCGCAATTTGATTTAGGGTTCGAAGGGTCAGAAAAAAATCCCCTCCCTCTTGCATTCTCAACAAAGAACCCAAAATTCCCCCCTCCCCATCGGACCCTCAACTATGTGATTTAGGGTCAGAAGGGTAAAAAAAAATTTCCCCACCCCTTGAAGTTCCCGCATTACGATTAAGCGTCATAAGGGTAATAAAATCCCTCCTCCCTTCTCATCGCACCCTTAACTATCCGATTTAGGGTCAGATGGGTCAAAAAAAAATTCCCCTCCCCCCTTAGATCCTCCCCAATCCGCTTTGGGGTTTGAAGGGTCAGAAAAAAAAGCCCCCCCCCCAGATTCTTTGCTATTCGATTTAGGGTCAGAAGGGTCGCCAAAAAAATTTCCCCCCACGTTTGGACCTCCCACAATGTGATTTAGGGTGGGAAGGGTAAAAAAAATGCCCCCCCGCCCCGTGGACGTCTCGCAATGTAATTAAAGATCAGAGGGTCAGGGAAAATTAACCCCCCCCCCTTGGACTTACGACAATGTAATTAAGAGTCAGAAGGATCAGGAAAAATCCCCCCCCCCTCGCACGCTTCGCAATTCAATTTAGGGTCAGAAGGGTAAAAAAAATACCACCCCCCCGCCCCCGAGGACTCCACTCAATGCGATTAAGGGTCAGAAGGGTAAAAAAATCCCTCCTCCCCTCTTATTGTACCCTCAACTGTGTGATTTAGGGTCAGAAGGGTAAAAAGAATTTCCCCCCCCCC